AGGGAAAGGTGTGGATCGGGGGAGGCAGAGATCGCCAGGGCGCCAGGCGGCCGCAAAAGCCAGGACCGCGGGCCCGCGGGCCGACCTTGGGGCCGGGGCCAGCAGGCGCTCTTCCTCCTCCTCCTCCTCCTCCTCCTCCTCCTCCTCCTCCTCCTCCTCCTCCTCCCCCTCTTCTTCCTCTTCTTCTTCTTCTTCTTCTTCCTCTTCTTCTTCTTCTTCTTCTTCTTCCTCCCCCTCCTCCTCCTCGATGAAAACCGGTCCTGGAGAAAGCATCGGGATTTCCAGGGACCCCCCGTACTCACAAACATCCAGACATCGCATGTCTGGGGTGGCACGAAGCCCAGCCCTCGGGTGCACGCCAGCCCCCCCCCCCCCGACGTCGCGCTCGTTCTTGCCACGTGGGCTCCCCGAGGCCTCGACCCCTTCCCCAGGACCAGCTCTTCCTCCTCGGTCGTTTACTGACGGTCCCAGGGCCAGTCAGGCAGACGGTTAACGGGTTGGGAGGGTGGGGTTGGGAGAGATGAGGATATCGTTGCGGTCGAAGGTATCGTTCATTGCATGCGGATGCTATTGTTCATACCCTTCATCCTCCCAACCTCTTCCTCCCTAGCACGATAACTGTTCTCCTCAGCCAGGCGAGGGCCCCCAGGCGCCGACAAAAACGTCAGAAAGCGTTTCGTCTGATTTTTTTTGTTGTTTCCGCGACGCGATGCGGTCTGGACCCCAGGATCACTCGGCCCGCCCGCCCAGGGCGGCGGGGCGATCGAGGAGGGCCCCCAGAAGAGCGCGAGGGCGTCACACGGACAGGGGAAGCGTGATTGCAGACGTCGTGAATTTTGCTCCTACAGTGCCTGGAAGAGCGCGAGGCCATCAAGCGGGCAAGGCAAACGAGTGTCTGTTCGCGCGCACGCTGATTCTTCGAATTCCGCAAGCTTTGCACAGTGCGCTCCTACAACGCCCAGGAGGGCGCGAGGCCGTCAAGAGCTGAGCTGCCCTGATACGCCAGTGTTGAAACGCAAAACGTACCGTACTCAGAACATCCGTTTTTGTCGGTTCCGTGTTGTCTCAACGTATCGTCTTACGTCCTGGCGAACGCATCGCGCCAACCTGCGTCTTCAGTCTACGTGTTGAGCTCCGTGTCGACACGCTACGTGTTGCGTGCTGCGTATTGGGGCAGCTAAGGTCAAGAGGCTGGAACTCTCTTGGGCCATCCTGGGCCCTTGGGGGCCTCCTGACCCGAACAAACATGAAGAATCAAACAAGCAGTGGCAATCCACCGGGGAGTCAATGTTTTTGCCTCCTCAGGCCGTCTTGGGGATCCTCTGAGGAGGAGGAGGAGGAGGAGGAGGAGGAGGAGGAGGAGGAGGAGGAGGAGGAGGAGGAGGAGGAGGAAGAGAGGAGGAGGAGGAGGAGGAGGAGGAGGATAAGGAGGAGGAGGGAAGCACTCTTGGGGCCGTCTGGGCCCTCCCCCTCGCTCCCCTCTCCCGGCGCCCGCCAGGCGCAGCCCGTGGCCCTCTGCCCCTCCTGGCTGCCGGTGGCCCCGGGACTGGAGGGACGAGGAGGTGGGCCCCCCCGGGGGGGGGCCCCGGGCCCGAGGCCCCGCCGCGCCGCCCGGCCGCCGAGGCCGCACCGGCCGCAGGGGCCCAGGCTGGAGTCAGCGGCACTGTACCCAGAGGTCCAGCGCATTGGCAAGAATCAAGACAGGCGTTGTCGCAGTGCTCGGCCTCGGGGGGGCCTCGCTGGGCCCCGGGACCGTGAAAAACCGATTCGGGATGGAGAACGGGTCCTGGTGTATGGGTCGAGACTTCGGGGGCCCCGTTTTGCCGAAAAGTGCCAGTTTAATTCGGGCCTCTCTCATGCACTGCAGCGTTGCCCACATCGGGGAGGGTTGGGTTCGCCTGGTCACTGGCCAAAAGGCGCGTTAGTGGAATCCACGTTGGAGGGGCGCCAGCGGGGGGTCGGAGGTGGCTCTCGGCTACACTCGGCGGCGAAAAAAGAAAAGCCTCATCGGAAGGCGGCAGGGCTTCTCAGAAGCCCTCCGGCCTTCTGAGAAGTCTTCTCTGTCTCCGGGGAAGACTTAGGACATTTCTCAGAAGTCCGGGGGACTTCCGAGCCTTCCGAGGAGTCCTTCTCCTTCTCATTTCCCCCCCTCGCTCGCCACCGGCTGGAGCCGGCGGGGGGTCGGAGGTGGCTTTCGGCTACGCGCAAGAGTGACCGTTCACCGGAGTGACCTTTGGTGCGGGCCCAAGGGGGCCCCCCGATCGCTGAACGCGAAGCGGTAGCAGCGCCATGCGGGCCTGGCGGTGTTCCCAAAGGGCCCTGCCCCCTGGGCCGCGCGCCGGGCTTAGCCATCCCGCGTCCCCCGTGCAGACACGGACCAAAGGTCATTCTTGCCCAGGGTGATTCGTGCGTGTTGCCGACAGCACTGGTTCCGGCCAGCAGGAAGCATCAGAGGTTCGAGGTGCTGGGTTCGTTTTTTTTTTTTTTTTTTTTTTTTTTTGTTTTTGTTGTGTGTGTGTGTGTGTGTGTGTTGCGCGTGTGTTTTGCTATTTTCGGCCTTCGGGGGCCGTTTCAGACCCTGGGACCTTCAGAAACGGATTTGGGGTGAAACCCTGCACCAGGCGAACCCCAGAAGGTGTCCAGGACCGAGTTTGAGCGCATTTGCCTTTACCCTTGGACTCGTCCTTCTTGCCAGAATTTCTCGGGGCCCATCGAGTTCAGCCCCCCCCCCCGGCCGCCTCCAAGGCCCAGGCCTGCCCCAGATACCCTTGCGTGTCGCAAGTCGCGATTTATCAATCGCGCAAGATTTGGTGTTGATATTCTTTGTTTTCGTATTTGAAATATACTGTTAATGCTGTTTCTGCCCTGCGATTTTTTACACATGCGCCGACTATCAAGACCTTTCTGTCTTCTTGGTGGCCCCTCATTCTGCAGCAGCTTCAGGAGGATGGCCGAGTTGATACGTCCTTGCACGGGCATGCTGTGCGTATAAGGCTGTCGCTCAGGTTTTGGTCAGCAGGTAGGCTATGGCTTCTTTGGACCCTCTCCTCCTCTTCCTGCTCCTTCGATTCTCTGAGCTCTGATCGTCTGTTCAGGCTCTTCACGGAGCTGTGCTTTCATTATTGTATATATCCGTTCATTCTTCCTTTGTTTCTTCGCCCCGTTTCTCTTCTATTCCTCCTCCTCCTCCTCCTTATATATCCCCCTCCTCTTCTTCCTCCTTTTCTCGGACTCTCTTATTCCTTTATCATCCCTTTTCTTTTCTTGTCTCCTTCCTCCTCCTCCTCTTTGTTCCCCTCCCCAGGTTACATCTGCGCAGAGCTCCTGTGCCCTGTCCTGTGCTTCACGGGCACTCACCCCTGGCCGTCCCTTCTGCCACGCCGTGACGGGGCCAGCCCTGCACGCCGTGTCGGCGGAGGCCTCCCCATCGTCCTCGTCGCCGTCGTCGTACCTCGCCCCTTCCCCGCCCTGGCCGCCCGCCCGTGTCGCGCGCGGGCGCGACTCTCGGCGGGGAGGGATGGTAGGCTGAAGTCGTGCATGTCCCCTTACAGGAGGAATAAGGGGGAACATGCAAGAATAGTCAAAACATAGTCTGGGGACGATTTCTGATGATTTTCTCCCGACCTAGTGGTGGGCTCGCCGCCGTGCCCAGGGAGGCGTCGGTGGGCAGAGCGTGGATCGCGCTCTCGCGGTGCGTGCTCCGCCCTCTGGTGGCCCTTTCTCTCGCTCTCTCTCTCTCTCTCTCTCTCTCTTTCTCTCTCTCTCCCCCCTGCCCGCGGCCCTGGCCGCGGTGAGCAGCGGCGTCCTCTCGCTCCACGGGGTATCTTTCAGTCGGGCATGTTCCTCTACAGAAGGAATGTTCAAAAATAGTCCAGAAATAATATCGGGACGATTTGTTTCGACTACTATGGGCTAGTTTTGAATCTTTGTGGCTGTTTTTTATTTTTCCTCCCAAATCTCCCTGTAGGAGGACATGCCCGACCTGAGGCTATCCATGGCCTTAGCAGGCCTGCCTACAGATGTGATGGGCACCGATCTACGTGCAGCGGGTCTTGGCCGTTCGTCCTTCTCCGCGTGCTTGGTCATTTCCCTCTCCCTCCCTCTCCCTCTCTTCCTCTCTCCCTCTCTCCCTCTCCCTCTCCCTCTCCCTCTCTCTCTCCCTCTCCTTCTCTCTGTCAGCTGCCTCTGAGAGGGTCTCCATGTGCACCATCGCCGTCTTGGTGCCCATAAGGGTGCTCTGCGTACTCGCTGCGACCGCCCTCAGCGTCACAGGGCTTTGCTTCATCATCCAGACCAGTGCGTGGCCTTTACGAGGAGGGGGCTACGAAAGGTTTGAGGCTCCCTTTTCCTACTGTTTTTTGTTGTTGCTCCTTCCTCTCGCCACCCTCTTCTCTTCTGCCCGCTCCCGCGCCTCGTATCCGGCCCGCCCTGCCAGAGGCGACACCAACGCCCACGACCGCCGGCACTGCCGTTTCAAGTGCTCTCCTTGCTCTAGCTCTCGAGTCCTCCTTTCAGTCCTCTCCCGAGCCTATCCCTCGTCCTGTCCCTCCTCGCCCGACCCCTCCTCCTGTCCTCTCGCCCTCGCTCATGCACCTCTTCGTTCCAAGGCTCATTTGAATACCCTGCGCACGGTCGTGTGCGAGTCGACAGCCGCCTGCGCTGCTCCGCCTCATGCTGCGGCGCAGCCCTGCGGCGGTCACGTGCAGTCGGTGGGGTCGGGGCCCACAAACAAATCTTCCTCGCTCCATTCCCTCCTCGTTTCTCTCCGGCAGCCGCCGTTCTATCCCTCCTCGTCGACGCTACCAGCTCCCGAATCCTCATTCTGGAACTCTCTCCCGAGCCTCCTCCTCGTCCTGCCTCTCCTCGCTGGATCCCTCCCCCTGTCCCCCCTCTCTCCCTCGCTCTCTGTGTTCCCCCCTCGCTCCCCCCGCCAGCCCTCGCTCCGCCTCCCTCCTCGTCGGCGTGCCTGCCGCTCCCCCGCCCCCGCGGGAGCGCGAGAGGCGCCGCCGCCGGCGGTCCTGCCCCTGCCGGGGGTGCCCGCCCGCGCCGCCAGGCACGAGGCGCCCCCCGCCTCCCGCCGCCCGCCCTTCGGGCCGCATCGCGCCGCGCCAGCGTCTCGCGGGGCGGCCCGCGGCGCGGCGTCGGGTGGCCCGGCTTCCGGCGGCGGCGCGCGGGGAGGGGAAGGTGAGAGGGAGAGGGCCCTCTCAGAAGGCGGTGGGGCCCTCTCAGAAGCCCTCTCGCCTTCCGAGTTTTTTGTTTTTTTTTGTTTTGGGGGGGGGGGGAGGCAAGGCGTAGGACGCTTCTCAGAAGGCCGGGGGACTTCCGAGCCTTCCGAAGAGGCCTTCTCCTTCTCACTTCCCGAACAGTCAGAGAAAAGTGACAGGTGACAATGTTTCGTGCTCCTTTGACTCTGGTTGATGCTTTTCCCGTCCATTTTGTAGGTTTCTTACCAACTCCTTCTGTAGGAGAACATGCCCGACCTAACGTTAGGGGTTGGAGCTGGCTGAGGGTCTGATGTGGCCCGGCACTGGTTCCGGCCTTGGTTCGGGACGTTTCTTTTTTTGTTTTTTTGTTATTTGTCCTTTCGGCTTCTGGGGGCCGTCTTCCCGGGACCGTCGACAAAAATTGATCCGGGGTGAAACGTTGCACCATATGGGTCCGATTCTGAGCGGGTTTGGCCTCGCCCTCCCCTTCCAAAACGGTCTTCTCGGGGCCGCCCCACCCGTTTAGACCCGGGGCCGCTCCATCGGTCGGGGGCACTTCTGGACAGCGTGTTGCTCCGCTCATTCTGGCCCACAACGCCGCCGCGCCTCCGCGTCATCCACTACTCCTGCCTGCGGGCGTTCACGTCACGAGCCTTTCCGAGCCTCCCGCCCCGCGGAGCGGAGCGACTCGATAGCCACCTGCAAGGCAGAGCGGGTCGCCGGGGTCGCCGCCGCGGCACGCTGTGCAAAAGTTCCCGCCCGTAGGCTCAGGGCGGATGCCTCGATCCCCAGTCGTCCAGTGATCGTTGATAGGGGCCCGAAAGCCCACCCTGCCCAGAACCGTGCGGTTTTGCAATCGAGGGTCTTTCGCCGATCTATCGGCGATGTATCGCCGATTTCTTGTCGAAGTTAATCCCCCCTGAGCTGGTAGTTGCAGTAGCTGAGCTCGACCAAAGCGTCACTAGAACGAGTCCAGATTAGAGCTCGGCCGTAGGGATCCAGCAGGACCAGCGTCTTTACACTGTCGCTCCTTCCTGATCGCGATGGTGGAGGCTTGGTTTCTAAGCCCCGAGGTTCTTCAGCGCCCGTTCGTCCTCGTCCAAGCTTGTGGTACTGATTTGAGGACCAGGAACGAGCGATTTCGAACGTGCTCAGTAAGTGATCGCCGCGACCAGAAGTCAACGGCTCTGGCCGCGCATATGAAAGAAGCAGGAATGCTTGCATCTACCCATACGCTTCCCCCTCTCCTTCTGCTGTCCACCTGCGGGCCTCCCACTCCTTCGCCGACTCTCCCCTCTCTCCTGGTGCTCCCCTCGTGATTCTTTTCCTTCTCCTCCCCCTCCTCCCTCTTCAGCTGCTGCTTCTCTTTCCTGCTCGGCCTGCTTCTCGACGCTTCCTTCAAAGCTGGCCCTCCTGCTCGTCGTCGTCGTCGTCGTCGTCGTCGTCGTCGTCGTCGTCGTCGTCGTCGTCCTCGGCAGCGCGTCCAGGCGGGCACTTCTGGCGAGTTCCATGGGGGGCCCGGTCCAGCCTTCTCCGTTCCATCCTCTCCTCCGGCCACCTCCGCACGGAGACCCTGGCGGGAGGAGCTGGTCCAGCCTCCTCCGACTTGACTCCCTCTTGGAAGCGCCCGGGAGCTGGAGGAGGAGGAGGAGGAGGAGGAGGAGGAGGAGGAGGAGGAGGAGGTGGAGGAGGAGGTGGAGGAGGAGGAGGAGGAGGAGGAGGAGGAGGAGGAGGAGGTGGAGGAGGAGGAGGAGGCGGAGGAGGAGGAGGAGGAGGAGGGGAGGAGGAGGAGGGAGGAGGAGGAGGAGGAGGAGGCGGATGGAGGAGGAGGAGGAGGAGGGGAGGTGGGGGAGGAGGAGGAATAGGAGGATGAAAAGGACCGGGACGAATGTCAATGGTGGCGACGAAAGGGAGGGGTATCACTTCCCAGACATCAGCGACGGAGATCGGGTGCCAAACTGTCTGGTCTGGGCCTTGACTTCCGTCGAGGGTCTATCGCTGCACGCTGTAGCCCTCCAGAGCTAGCTTCGGTCGAAAAGGAAATGATCAGCCTCCTCGTCCGCATCTGAGCTGCTCCGTGGGGTGACCTCCCTCCCACTACCTCCGCGGGGTGACAGGGGGGATCAGGAGGAAGGAGGGTCAGGAGGAGGAAGAGGGGGAGGAGGAGGAGGAGGAGGAGGAGGAGGAGGTGGAGGAGGAGGAGGAGGAGGAGGAGGAGGAGGAGGAGGAGGAGGAGGAGGAGGAGGAGGCGGAAGAGGGTGCAGGGTGCTACCAATGCTCGCATCTTCGAGGAGGAGGAGGCGGAGGAGGAGGGGAGGAGGAGGAGGAGGAGGAGGAGGAGGAGGAGGAGGAGGAGGAGGGGAGGAGGGGAGGAGGAGGAGGAGGAGGAGGAGGAGGAGGAGGAGGAGGAGGAGGAGGAGGAGGAGGAGGAGGAGGAGGATGGTGTAGGAGGAGGAGGAGGAGGGTGGTGGAGGCGGGAGGGCAGACCGAGGAGGAGGAGGAGGAGGAGGAGGAGGAGGAGGAGGAGGGAGGGGGAGGAGGAGGAGGAGCTCCTGTGCTCGACGGGAGAGGGGCCAGGGTACGCGCCGCCGAGGAGCCGGTCGACGCGCTGAGGCTGCGGCAGGAGGGCAGGTCCCTCAGGCGCCTGCCCCTCGCGGTACCTCGCCTGCCCGCTCCTCTTCCTCTTTTTCCTCCTCCCTTCTTCCCCCTCCCTTCTCCCCCTTCCCTTCTCGCTGCCTCATCCCTTCTTCCTTCTCCCTTCTCATCCCCTCTCCTGCCTCTTCCTTTGGGGCTGTCTGGGGGTCTGAGGTGGCCCAGCACTGATTCGGGCCAGCAGGAGGGGGCGGGCAGGTCCGAGTTGCTGGGTTAGTTTTTTTCCCAACCATCCTATGTTGGGTCCTCGTTTTGAAGAGACGGTCCCCGCGTTCTCCTCTTCTCCTTTACTCCTCCCCCCCTCCTCCATCCTCCCGTCACCCCCCTCACTTTGGCACACCCCTCACGCGTTTCGTGGCCCCATAGGGAACTCCATCGAAAGTCCTAGTGGGGGTGTCCGCATGCGGTCCCCGCAACCATTTTGGCACACCCCTCACACGTTTCGTGGCCCCATAGGAAGCTCCACCGAAGGCGATAGTGGGGGTGCCCGCATGCGGTTCCCACATCCATTCTGGCACACCCCTCACACGTGTCGTGGCCCCGTAGGAAGCTCCAGCGAAGGTCCTGGTAGGGGTGCCCGCATGTGGTCCCCACACTCATTTCGGCACACCCCTCACACGTTTCGTGGCCCCATAGGGAGTTCCACCGAAGGCCCCAGTGGGGGTGCTCTCATGCGGTCCCTACACCCATGTCGGCACACACCCCTCACACGTTTCGTGGCCCCAGAGGGAGCTCCACCGAAGGCCCCAGCGCTACCGTCCACATGCGCCCCCCGCACCCACTTCGGCACACCCCTCACACGTTTCGTGGCCCCATAGGGATCTCCGCCGAAGGCCCCAACGCCACCGTCCACTTGCGTCCCCATACACCCACCCATGTCAGCACACCCCTCACTCGTTTGGTGGCCCCATAGGGAGCTCCACCGAATGCACCAGTGCCACCTTCAATTTGCTTCCTCCAGACCCATTTCGGCACACCCGTCACACGTTTCGCCATCCAATAGTGAGCTCCACCGAAGGCTCCCGTGCCACCGCCCGCATGCGTCGCCCACACCCATGTCGGCACACCCCTTACACGTTTTGTGGCCCCATAGGGAGCTCCACCGAAGGCCCCAGTGCCACCGTCCATTTGCGTCCCGCACACCTATTTCGGCACACCCCTCACACGTTTCGTGGCCCCAGAGGGAGCTCCACCGAAGGCCCCAGTGCCACCGTCCACATGCGTCCCCCCACCCATGACAGCACACCCCCCACACGTTTTGTGGCCCCATAGGGAGCTCCACCGAGGGTACCAGTGCCACCGTCCGCATGCGTCCGCCGCACCCATGTTGGCACACCCCCCACAGGGTGCGTGGCCCCATAGGGAGTGCCAGCGAAGAAGATATTCACAATCGCGGTACGCACAACTGCATATGGTTGGGTCCTTCGCCAGGCTTTTTTGTTTGTTTGTGTGGGTGTGTTGTAAATCTCTTTTATGAAGAATAATATGATCGATCCCCCCTCCAGTGACCGTGCTCTCGGGGCTCCTACGTAGTTTTGTCAGGGGAAAATCGGGGGTCACCCAACCGGCCCGCTCGCCCCCCGGCCCCCCACGGCTCCCTCCTGACTTTCGTACAGTTTATTTCAAAATCGCGCTCTCTCGCAGCACTTCCTCATAATGTATGAAGGGATCTCGCTCTCGCGTGGAACTTCCTCGCAATTTATTCAAGAGCCGCGCCGCGCTTTCGCTCGAGACCTCGCGATTCATGCAGTACCCACGCTTTCGTAACTCGCCTGCTTGACCTGGCCGCTTGGGCCCGACTTCCCGACCCGCTCTTTGTGGCCTACCTGCCCGATCAGCCTGTTTTATGATCCCCGTGCTTTCTGCTCATAACCCCCCTTCTGCTAAACTCTCCCGTGCTCCATCCTTCTCCCTCCCCCTTCCATCCGTTCTGTCGTCACTGATTTTAGAGGCTGCACAGTTGCACTTGGCAGGTAGGGAACCTTTACCCCCAAGGGGGTACGATCGAAGACGAAGAGAGCGGGTATTGAGAGTTTGGGTTCTACGTGTTGAACGGCACGCGAGTTGCCCAGTCCCAAGCTGGTTGTTGTTGTTGTTGTTGTTGTGGTTGCTGTTGTTGTTATTGTTGTTGTTGATATTGTTATTGTTGTTGTTGTTGTTGATGTTGTTGTTGTTGTTGTTGTTGTTGTTGTTGTTGTTGTTGTTGTTGTTGTTGTTGTTGTTGTTGTGTTTGTTGTTGTTATTGTTATTGTTGTTGTTGTTGTTGTTGTTCTTGTTCTTGCCATTGTTCTTGTTCTTGTTTTTGTCATTGTTATTGTTCCTGTTGTTGCTGCTGCTGTTATGGTTGTTGGTGTTGTCGTTGTCGTTGTGGTTGCTGTTTTTGCTGTATCTGTTGTCGTTGTTGTTGTTGTCGTTGTCGTTGTTGTTGTCTTTATCGTTGTATTTGTCGTTGTTATGTTGTGGTTGTATTTGTGGTTGTGGTTGCTGCTGTTGCTGTTGCTGTTGCTGTTGCTGCTGCTGCTGCTGCTGTTGCTGTTGCTGTTGCTGTTGCTGTTGCTGTTGTTGTTGTTGTTGTTGTTGTTGTTGTTGTTGTTGTTGTTGTTGTTGTTGTTGTTCAAGTCCCATGACTGAAGAGTAATTTTTGTTGATCCCCCCTCCGGTGCACATAGTATTTTTCCATTGAAGTGCCCCTCCCCGCGCTCGCACCCTGTTTTGTATCAGGGAAAGTCTTGAGACTCAAACTGTGCCCCTGGCCCCCGGTTTACAACAACAGCGGATCCCGCTTGATATTTGCTCGAAACTTACTCCGGTCCCCCGCTCCCCTTGAGACTTCCTCGCGATTTACTCAGAGTCGCGCTCCCGCTTGAGACTTCTTCGTAATTTCCTCAGGCTCCGCCCTCTTGCCATTCAGGAATCGCGCGTTCGCTGGGGACTTCCTCAAATTTACTTGGAACCTCTCTCGCTGGAAGCTTCCTGGCTAATCACACAGAAATCACGATCGATCCGCCCGCTCGGCCCGCCAGTTAGGGTCATGCCGTTCGTGCCCCATGCTCGCTCGCGCCCTTTGTGCCTCATTGCTGCCCTCCGTGGCCCCTCCCCTTGTGGCCTAGTCGCTGCCCTTCGTGGCCCCTCGCGGCCCTTTGTGGCCCATATATACAGTCTCCCCTCTTTCCCTGTTTTAGGGGCTGCGCCGTGCCAACTACACGTGCCAAGTAATGAAGATGTACCCGCACGCTCTCGCCTGAGACTGCCCCACAATTCATTCAGGACTCACGCTTTGATCCGCCTGCTGGACTCGCCCGTTTGGGCCGCTCGCCTGACTTGCCTGTGACGGCAGGCCCGGCGGCTCGTTTGGAAGCTTGCCGAGTGCTTTCACGTCCCGCACGCCCGACCCGCCCGTTAGGGTCCGCCCGGGGGTCCGCAGGCCCCGCCCGCCCGACCCGTCTGTTGGGGATCGTTGCCCGACCCAACCGTCTGGGTTTGCCGCTTGTTTTCAGGCTCCTCTCTTAAGCCCCCCACCTTCTAATCCCTCTCGTCCGCAGTTCTGCTCTTTCCCTCTTGTCCCTTGCCTCCATCCCTTCCCTACTCCTTTCCTCCTCGTTTTTTATGTTTGTGTTTCTCTCTCTCTCTCTCTCTCTCTTCCTCTCTCTTTCTGTCGCTCTCTCTCCCTCTATCCTTTCTCACTCCTCTTGCTCTTTTAGGGGCTGCGCCCAATACACGTGGCAGGTTAGGAAGGTGTACCCCCCCGAGGGGGTACGATCGAAGACGAAGAGGGCGGGTGTCGGGGGTTTGGGATATACGTGGTGAGGTACGCGCAAGCATGTAAGAGCGAACAGTCTAAAATCAACTGTTGTTGTTGTTGTTGTTGTTGTTGTTGTTGTTGTTGTTCTTGTTGTTGAACTCTCACCACTGAAGAGTAATTATTGTTGACCCCCCCTCCGTTGACCATTGTATTTTCAATTGAAGTGCTTCCCCCGGGGCTCGGACCCTGTTTTATTTCAGGGGGAGTCACTAGGCTCAAACTGTGCCCCTGGCCGCTAGTTTACAACAACAGCGGCTCCCGCCTAATACTTCCTCATCACTTATTCCCAAATCGCGCTCTCGCGCGGGACGTCCTCACAATGTGTATACGAATCCCGCTCTCGCATGGAACTTCCTCGCAATTCATTCAGACGGTGCGCCCTCGGCACAGGAATCACGCTCTCGCTTTGGCTTTTCTCACGATTTACTTGGGAATCGCGTTGTAGCTCGAGACGTCCTTGCGATTTATGCAGGACCCACGCTTCAGCAACCCGCCTGCTCGACCTGGTCGCCTGGGCCCGCCTTCCCGACCTGTCCGCTACGGGTCTGCCCTCTCGATCTGCCCGTCTGGTTCTACCACTTGTTTTCTGCTCCTTGCCCCCCTCCTGCTAATTTCTCTTGTGCTCCATTCTTCTCCCTCCCCCTTCCACCCGTCTTCTCTTCCCATGTGTTAGGGGCTGCGCAAAATGCACGTGGCAGGATCTACCCCCCTGGGGTACGATCCAAGACGACGAGGGCGGGTACCGCGGCTTCGGGATATACGTATTGATCGGCACATGAGCAGATATGAGCGAACTGTTTTAAACTGATTGTTGTTGTTGTTGCTGTTGCTGCTCTGTTTTTTGGTTGTTGATAGTTTTGTTGTTGTTGCTTCCCTGTTGTTGTCGTCGTTGTTATTATTGTTGCTGTTTTGGTGCTTGGTTTTGTTATGTTTGTTTCTGCTGTTTTCGTGATTGTTGTTATGGTAGTTCTTGTTGTTTTTGCTGTTGATTCTAATTGTTGTGAATGTTGTGAATGTTGTTGCTGCTGCTGTTGTAGTAGTTGTTGTTGCTGTTGTTCATGTTATCGCTGTTGTTGTGATGGTTGTGGCTGTTGTTGCTGTAGTTATTGTTGTGGCTGTTGTTGTTGTTGGACTGGCCACGGCCCCTGGGCGCCCCCCATCAGCAACAACAACAGCAGCAGCCCCACCAACAGCAACAGCAACACCAACAATAACAAACACAACACCAACAACAACAACGCCGACGGCTCCCGCTCGAGACTTCCTCGCAATTTGCTCTCTTTCTGCAAAAGCAATAGGATATACCCCGCCCCTCTTCGGAATGAACGATTCGTTTTTCGTATTGCAGTTTACATCTGATTCTCCCTCCTCGTCCATCCTCACTATGACTTCATACCATCCCAGGCAGGCCGGTATCGCTCCCCCCCTCATCCTTTGTAACATAATTAGCCTGGCGAAAGACCCAACCATGTGCAGTTGTGGGCTCCGTCTTTGTATGCACCGCATTCGGAGGCGCTCCCTATGGGGCCACGAAACGTGTTAGGGGTGCGTCAAAATGGGTGCGGTGGGCGTATGCGCAAGCAGCCACTGGGCCCGTCGGTGGAGCCCCCTACGGGGCCGCGAAACATGTGAGGGGTGTGCCAGAACGGGTGCGGTTGGCGCATGCGAACGCAGCCGCTGGCGCCTTCGGTGGAGCTGCATTTGGGGCCACGAGAGGTGTGAGGGGTATACCGAAATTGGTGTGGGTGACGCATGCGGGCGGTGGCACTGGGGCCTTCGGTGGAGCTCCCTATGGGGCCACGAAGCGTGTGACGGATGCGTCGACAAGTGTGTACGGGTGACACATGCGGGCGGTGGCACTGGTGCCTTCGGTGGAGCTCCCGATGGGGCCACGAAGCGTGTGAGGAGTGTGCCGAGATCAGTTTGGGTTACGCATGCGGGCTGCGCCAACAGGGCCTTCGGTGGAGCTCCCGATGGGGCCACGAAACGTGTGAGGGGTGTGCAGACATGTGTGTGTGTGTGTGTGTGGGTGACGCATGCGGGCGGTGGCACTGGGGCCTTCGGTGGAGCTCCCTATGGGGCCACGAAACGGGTGAGGGGTGTGTGCCGAAGAGGGTGTGGGTGACGCATGCGGGCTGCGCCAACGGTGCCTTCGGTGGAGCTCCCTATGGGGCCACGAAGCGTGTGAGGAGTGTGCCGAAGAGGGTGCTGGTGACGCATGCGGGCTGCGCCAAGGGTGCCTTCGGTGGAGCTCCCTATGGGACCACGGAACGTGTCATGGGTGTGCAGACACGTGTGTGTGTGTGTGTGTGTGTGTGTGTGTGTGTGTGTGTGTGTGTGTGGGTGACGCATGCGGGCGGTGGCACTGGGGCCTTCGGTGGAGCTCCCTATGGGGCCACGAAGCGTGTGAGGTGTGTGTGTGTGTGTGTGTGTGTGTGCCGAAATGGCTGTGGGTAACGCATGCGGGCTGCGCCAACGGGGCCTGCGGTGGAGATCCCTATGCGGCCACGAAGCGTGCGTGCCGAAGAGGGAGGATGTGGGTGACGCATGCGGGCTGCGCCAATGGTGCCTTCGGTGGAGCTCCCGATGGGGCCACGAAACGTGTGAGAGATGTGCTGAAATCGGTGTGGGTGACGCATGCGTGCTGCGCCAACAGGGCCGTCGGTGGAGCTCCCTATGGGGCCACGAAGCGGGTGCAGGGTGTGCCGAAATTCTGGAAGGCCAAGCGGGTCCTCCCTTCCACCACCTCCCTCTGGCACCCGCTGCCCGGGCAACCACCGCCGCCCAAGGGAGCGGGAGATCGCGCTGCAGGACGGTAGCCCACCCCCGCCGCCGCCGCCGCTCGCGCGCGCGCGCGTGCTTGTAGGTCGGTAGCTGGGCGCGCGGCGGCGCAGCGGTGACGGCGGCGGTCTGGCGCATGAGAGATCAGGGTCGTCTTCACAGTGGACTCCAGCACCTGACTGTAAATTATCAAACCAAGCTTCGTTTTTTTGGTGTTTTTGCGACATTGTGTGTGCGTTTCCAGTTTTTTTTTTTTTTTTTTTTTTTTTTTTTTTTTTTTTTTTTTTTTGTTTTGTTTTTTTTGTGTTATTTTTTTTGTTTTGTTTTTTTTGTTTTTTTTTGTTTTTTGTTTTTCGCTATCGAGGGCCCTTCGGCTATCGAGGGCTCGTGGTCTCGCTATCGCTATCGAGGGCCCTTCGGCGATCCGTCGGCGAGGTATCGCCGATTCCGGGGCAGGGCTTCCCCTCCTGAGCTGGTCTCCCCCCCCACCACCTGTCGTTCCCTCTCAGCCAGGCGGCAGGCGGAGATTAGCGGCTAGAGGGGGCCTGGAGGGGCGCGCGCGCGGCTAGAGGGGCGCGCGCGCGCTAGGGGGGCTAGAGGGGCGAGAGGGCTAGAGGCGCGCTCGCGGCCAGAGGGGCCAGAGGGGCCAGAAGGACCAGAGAGCAGCAGCGGCCAGCGGGGCGCGCGCGCGCACTCGCGCGAACCTGGGCGCGCGGCGGCGACCCCGGGCCGGGCGCTCCAGGCGGAGCGCCGCGGGAGGCCCGGGATCGGCCGGCGTCGAGCGCTCTGCGCTGTCCGCAGGCCGTGGTCGCTTGAAGCTCGCCGAGCGCGTTCCGCTACTCGCAAAGTGCTGACTCGCAAACGTCCAGAACAAGCCCACGCTCGCCTCGATGTGACATATCGTGAATCGCCCACGGCGGATCCAGGCCATTTGCGAGTCGTGACTTCGCGAGTGAGCGCGCTTGCCTAGAAGCTGAAGGATCCGCGCGGTGTCGATTACCAACACACAAGTCGCCGCGGCGGGATACTGCCGCACGTGTGCGAGCGCACGCTCCCGGCGCTCGCGCCCTCGGGCGCGTGTGCGCCTGCGTCCGTGCCGAGGGGGGTGCTGCGCGTCGGCTGCGAGCGACGGGGGGGGGTGGGAAGGGGCGGGCCTGCGCAGAAGGCCAGGAAGTCCCCCAGCCTTGTGAGAAGTTCTCTGAGCTCTTCCCCGAAGACACAGAAAGCACTTCCCAGTGGGCGCGAGGGCTTCTGAGACGTCCCGGCCGCCTTCTCAGAAGGCCTTCTCCTCCTCACTTGCACCCCTCGCTCGCCGCCGCCGAACACAGGCGTGAGCGCGGTGGAGGATCTCTCAGGCAGAGCTCTGTCGGGCTGAGCTCCTGTGTGGAACCTGCTGCGCAGCGGCTTCTCCGCTGGAGCCCCTCGGGCGGAGCCTCTCGGGCCTCGATGCCCTGGCACGAGGCCTCGCCGGCGAGCTTCTCTTTTTTCTCGAGCGCTGATTTTTGGAGGAGCGTCCGCGTAGCCGCCCGATGGACATTGGCCAGGTGTACACGGCACCTGGGTAATACTCTCGGGCTCGGTGCCCTGGCTGGAGACCTCACTGGCGAGCTTTTTGCTCCTCGGGCGCTGAAATTTTTGGAAGGACGTCTCCGTAGCCGCCCGATGGACAGTGGCCAGACGCACTTTTTTCTCGTCGCAGCGCGACAGAGGCAGTCTGCACGCGCGCTCGGGCAAGCGTGGTGACGGCAATGCGAATTGCCCGGATGCAGGAGGGGAAGGAGGAAGAGAGGAGCGGCCGCGGGAGGAGGGGAAGGAATTAATGCGCTCGTGGCCAGGTGCACGCGGCACATGGGTAATAGTTCTCCTGGCCCGAGACTCTTCGCCCAGCGCGCTGAGACGGTCTGGTCTCAGACCCTGGTCGAGGACTTCTTCTTCGCCCACCATCCCCCCTCTCCCTCCTCCTCGTTGTCGCCGTCCTCCTCATGACCTCCCCCGCTACCCCTCCTCGGTGCGCCTCTCTCGCCGTCGGCCGCCTCTGCCTCCTCCTTCCTCCTTCCTCCTCAGCTCTTGCCCCTCCCAGCCACGTCCATCCACTTCCCGCTCCCTCTTCCCTCTTCTCTCTCAGTGTTCCTCCCTCCTGCCCTGCGTCGCGAGATCTCTGTTTTTCCTCGTCATCGCTTCATTTCCGGTTCCATACACGGCGCACCTCAACTTTGTGCAAGGAGTCTTTCCGCCCAGGAGTGGCTCGACTTCCCAGCACTCTTACCCGTCCCGTCTGAAACACGAAAAAGCACATCGTGCCTGACATATTTCGTGTTACTGTTTGCGCACTCGTTGGAGGTCTGTTTCAACCTGGCTCTGCGTACGAAGGGCGCGCGCGAGCGAACACGCCAGGCGGCCTGGTGCGATAGACGATGTCTAAATGGATGTGTGTGTGTGTGTGTGTGTGTGTCGCTGCGGTTTAGAAGAACGAGTTCCGTCTTGCCCCTTCGCCTCGTGTGTGCAGTAGACGACGGTCCAATCACTGCAACTGCCATCTGGGGGACAGGGTCCGATGCGTCACCAGACCTGGCGAGCCGAAAGAGATTCGAGTGGAAGGGCATATGTGGGAAAACTACGATGTCAGATGAGGCGCGAGCGCGCCTGGCTTGACAACTGCATAGTGTGAATGCTTCTTCCCCCTCTCCCCGGTGCTGTCTTTCGTCGCCTCCGCCTATCCCGTGCATGGTTTTTGTGCACGTAGGCTTGTCCAGAGGTGATGTTCCATATGTGTTCTTCAATCATAACTTTCTCGGCCCCTCAGAGGTTCTGCTCTGGCTGGAGAATTGGCTGCATTCCAGGGCTTCCGCGGAACTCTGTTCGACGGAATGTCGCTCTCGCCGCATCGCTGGCCATACTCGTGCATCCGCAGGAGTTGTGTTCCCGCTGAGGCGTTTGCCGCGTTTCGGACTTTCCATCCTGTTTCCGCCCACTCCGCTGAGGTGCTCTCCGCTGAGGCGTTTTCCGCTGAGGCGTTTTCCGCTGAGGCGTTCTCGCCGCAGCGCTGCCGGTCTCCTGCGTCAGCAACGTGCAGCTCCCTCCGCTTCGCTTGCCCCCGCCCCGCAAGAACGGCGCTCCCGCCGCCGCGCCTTCGACGTCGGGCAGCACCAGCAGGGGCGGTGTTCTCGCCGTAGCCTTGGCCGCGTCTCGGACTTTCCACCCGTGCTCTCGTGCAACCGGGCGCACTTCCACCGCGGCGCTGGCCGTGACCTTCCATCGCCCAAGCGTGGTACTTTCGTCGCAGTGCATTTGCCACAATGAACGATGACCACTGGGTTTCCGTCGAACGAGATGGTGCTCTTGCCGTCGGCCGTAGCATTGCATCAGCATTCCGTGTCTGCATCCCTGGTGTGGCTTTCGTGTTGCGCGCTTTCCTGCAAGTGGTGGCATCGCTTGGGTGTGCGCGCTTGTCGGTCACGTCAAACCGCTTCCCAGGGGCCTCTTGGGCAAAATTGACCGTTCGGGTCCATGCCCTCGTCGACGTTCGACTTTGCGAATAGAGTGGGCTCAACCCCATGATCAGGAATGGGATGGAGTTGATGAGGTCGGATATGGCGCGAGTGCACCAATGTCGCCTCTCTCCTGTCTCTGCTATTTTTTTCGCTCTCCCTCTCTCTCTCTCTCCCTCTCTCCCTCTCCCTCTCCCTCTCGTTTATCTCTCTCACAGTTTCTGTTGATGCTAGACGCTTCGCGTAACCCCACCAGTCGAGTCAGAAACGATGCCCAGGCGAGTTGCCCTGATCAGGGAATTGGTGGATCAAGCAGTTGAATGAAAGGCTGGGGAAGCCGCCTTACCCCAAGAGGAGCAGGATGGATGAGGAATCGGAGGATTAGGAGGAGGCGGAGGGGGAAGGGGGAGGAGGAGGAGGAGGAGGAGGAGGAGGAGGAGGAGGAGGAGGAGGAGGAGGAGGGGGAAGGGGGAGAAGGAGGAGGATGAGGAGGAGGAGGAGGAGAGGAAGGAGAAAAAGGATGATGATGATGGTGCTGCTGCTGCTGATGATGACGATGATGATGATGATGATGATGATGATGATGATGATGATGATGATGATGATGATGATGATGATGCTGCGGCTGCTGCTGCTGCTGCCCATGATGATGCGATGATGGTGGTGGTGATGATGATGATGATGATGATGATGATGATGATGATGATGATGATGATGATGATGATGAGGGGGAGGAGGAGAATGAGGATGATTACGATGATGATGCTGATGACGATGATGAGGATGACGAGGATGATGAGGATGCTGATGCTAATGCTGATGCTGATGCTGATGCTGATGATGATGATGATGATGATGATGATGATGATGATGATGATGATGATGATGAGGAGATGAGGAGGAGGAGGAGGAGAGGAAACGATGAGGAGGAGGAGGAGCAAGGAGGAGGAGAGGAGAGAGGAGGAGAGGAGGAGGAGGAGGAGGAGGAGGAGGAGGAGGAGGAGGAGGAGGAGGAGGAGGAGGAGGAGGAGGAGGAGGAGGCGGAGGAGGAGGAGGAGGAGGAGGAGGAGGGGGAAGAGGAGGGGGAAGAGGAGAAGGAGGATGAGGAGGAGGAGAAGGAGGAGGAGGAAGTGGAGGAGGAGGAGGAGGAGGAGGAGGAGGAGGAGGAGGAGGAGGAGGAGGGCAAGCAGAAAGGCCAGAGGCCTCTTGGATGTCTCTCGGTGTCTCTTCGGATGTCTCTTGGGAGCCCCTTGCGGTCCCATTGTGGCGTCTTGGGGGCCTTTTGGCGGTCCCGGGGGGCTCATGAAACATCGTGGGTGCCTCGGGGGAGCCTGTTGGAGCCTCTTGGGAGCCTCTGGGGAGCCTCTTGGGAGCCCCTTTGGGCCTCTTGGGAGCCTCTTGGGGGCCTCTTGGGGTCTCCTTGGCGCCTCTTGGGGCCTCCTGGGCGCTTCTTGGGGCCCGAGACCTCGGGGGCCATCTAGGATGATATCGTTCCATGGAGGGTGGGGCTACTTAATGACGCGTTGGTCGTTGAAAGTAGGT